TCCATTTCAGAGGGCTAGTGTAAATGGGGCATATTTCTCTTAAATATTCCACATTTGGTTTTATGAGAATTATAATGGTTTATGGGATTTTGGGGAATGTATTTGATGAAGTGCAAAACAGGCTTAGATTGGAAGGTAACCGGACTTTCGCTCATGTTTGTGGAAGTTTTGAAACCTATCCAGAAGACTCTGGTGCCAACATAGCCAACAGAATTCACAAAGACTCACAAATGTCTCACTCTTTAGAATTAATCCCTTTCTTTCCTTTTCAGAACTAAGCTTCACTTTGTATTTGTCTATTGAACAAAATCTCATGAAATAACTTTGCGGTTTTAAAGTGACAACCTCTTTTTAGAAAATCAAAGGGTATGAATACTTTTGCAAGGCTTTATCTTTTCCACAACCCTCCCTTAAAGCGATACCAGTTGGTCATTATTGTCAGCGCCTGCATCTCTGCAGGAGAACCACATATCAACAGTTAGAGAGATCATTGATTTGTTATCTGAAAGCTTCTTTCAGAAAATAGGGGAAGGGATAGAAAACTGTAAAATCTGTTTATGTTTGCTGGGGAAAATTAAAGATGAATGGCTTCTTTGTCTGTACATTTGCACTGAGCCCCTAGAAGTGAAAAGTGTGGAAAAGGATCTGCATTCCTGGTTGACAGCTTTGAAGCCACAGATGATGGGAGTCAGAGCTCGGAGGAAATCTTATCTCCTTAGATGATCAGGTGAAGCAAAGCCTGTGTCAGGACTGAATAATGTCTGTCCAAACAGTCCCTCATAAACCTATGTTAACTGAATACACGTGTAACGAAGAGATGTAATTTGGTAGGACGTATCAAATTTGCCTGTTGAATAAATGTGAATGCTGGCAGACAACAAAATGAACTTGTTCTACATAACATGGCGAAACAAAGCTCTGTGCTTGTCACGCACAAATATAAGCTGGCATAGGGGTAACAGCGCCAAGCATTAGGTGAGTTTACCTTGTTTAGACATCTTAGTGTGAACTCATCATGGTACCGACGTCATGTGACAGAAAAGGGGTTAAAGACACTGAACATTCCTCCCTTCCTAATTGATTTGTGACAATGACTAATTAAGCCTTACGGGTGGTACTCTGATCCCCTGTCTCAGAACGTCATTCATCACAGTAGGGAGGAGGTGCAAGCGTGTCTGATTCTGTTTATGTGTAGCATGTCGGTGGTTTGACAGCCCCATGAGGAGGAGGGCACGCTTGTTAAAGTCACCGCCATAATCGGTAGAAACATGTAGGTTGCTGATGCCTATGAGGGACTGGCTGGTGCTGGGTGATTTTCAACATATGCAACACCTTTTTTCTGCAAGGGGAAAGGGGAATGTTTGATATTTATATATATATATATATATATATATATATATACATAGTTGCTGAGATAAAAAAGTGTTTTACACAGTTTTCTGAAAAGTGTTGCAGAACATCCAACGTTTTTGAAGAAAAGTAAAGACTGGAGCAACATAATAAAAGAGTTCAAAGGTTAAAACTATTCAGCTGTTCTGTAGCAGGCAAAATTCTTTCCCTTTTATTTGAGCAATATTAATGATGGCCTTTTTATTTATTTATGAAGATCAAGGATTTCAACAGTGACATATAAGACAGGGTTGCGGGTTTGCTTAGAGATGTTTAATAATGCACTGGTGATTACTTTATAGTTCTCCAATTAATTTAGAAAACATTTTTGGCAGGAGAGACATGAGGATAAGCATTCTTATTTTTCTGTAGCACCTGGCTGATCCAAAGCCTTTACAGTTATACTTGTTTTAATTAGTCAAATTAAGTACAAGCTTTCAAGCAAGAGTCAGTTCCATTCTGCCAACTGTGTCAGTCTTTAGACAAGACCCCCGGCAAAAAAGTAAGGAAAGCGTACTGGCAGCTGCTTGGAGGCTGATGCTGAAACTAAATGAGTGTTTTTTAAAAGCTACTGTGGGGCAGAAGCTGAATGTCAAAAAACAGAAGGCTGCTGGAGTAACAAGCAGCAGGACAGTATTAATGTGCTCCTGAAAAAATGATGAATAAACTAATGCAACAAATTGTATCAGAGATTTTCTACTGTAAGCAAGTTTTAGGTTCCTTGCATTCATGAACATTGGGCTTTGGCGAAATATAAACCTGTCATTTTCCATAGGTAAATTAATCTTAAAGGCATCTAGAATAACATTTTGATGAATCTTAGTCATATCTAGAATCAATCATTTTAAGTAGCGGCTTAAAATTCATTGGAAGTGTGTTTTTGCTTATTTATCTCCTAAGAAACTTTAAGCTTGCATTCCTCTTTTCTCTAATCTTGGTGTATCAGGGATGTCATGAGTTTGCAAAACACTGGGCTAAGGTTATACAGCATCACTACTGGGCAAATTAAAATAGGTTTAGCATTTTGGTATTAAAAAAAATGTCTTAGAAGATATCTTATTTAGTATTTTTTGTTTCAACAAGAAGACAGTTGGACAACTCGACAATAGGAGGGATGTTGAAACAGAAGTGAAAAAAGCAATATATGGTCAGAGACAAACACAAGCTACACACCGAGTTACGCTACTTTAGTCTTTTGACCCAAAATTGCTAATTAAACCTCAGGCAGAGGGGGAGATTGAGACAAAACTAGACGTTCTCTACCTTAAGGCGGTCACATAACCTACAGGCTCTACAGCTCGCACACATTAACACAGAGAGAATGCAGCCTCTCAAAGACTTGAACACTGGAAACATCATCTAAGATATATTTTATGTTCATCTGCACTACGGGTTACTGAACACATATACAGACAATGCAGCATATGCTCTGTTGCATTCGGGAGGCCTTGGATAACTGCGCTGGGAGTATGCAAATTGAACAATGGTTGGTATTAGCGGATGTGAATTTTCACAAATGCTCACTGGCCATTTTAATTGGGCAAAAATGTCCTCTCACATTTAATTTCCTTGGTGTGGAGATAAAGACAGCAGCCAAGTTTTTGCAACAATGGAAGAGCTCTTGAATAAGAGCACCTGTTATATATAATGGATCTGCATGTTCAAGTAAATGTTATGGGAAAATGGAGCATTAGATTGTAAAATAAGTTGTTTCATAATTTCGAGAAAGATGAACAGCTGGGAAGCAAATATTCAATTTAACATTTGAGTACCATTGGCCAATAAGTCTTGAAATAACCACTATAAGGAAATCAGAATAAAACAAGCACAGGCTAAAGGGGGGTGATTCTATGAACTTGATCTGTTCCAAAGTGGGAGTATGCATGTCCTTTCAGTCCCTCCTTTTTATAATCTGACTTGAAAAAGTTAGCCCCCCCCTAAAAAAAAGAAAAAAAGAAAAGAAAAAAAAACTTGAGGCAGCAGGTCTGAAATCCCAATGAAGCCGTTGAGCGTTTCTCTATTTTGAAATATCAGGCCTTTGAAGGTAGAGAGGCTGGATCCTTTTGACAGACTGATGACTGAAAGACATCTGGGCTTAGAAACTGAGTCTAAAAAAAATAAATCTAAACAATACACCCGAAAAAATAGCCTGCAAGTTTTAGTTTGTTTTTTTTACCTCAAAAATACCTTAAAAAATTTTAGGGATACTCTTGGGGGAAAAAAAAGGAGCATATAACTTGATTTTCTTTTTGAATGTGTTGTACCTAAATTTTAAAAATGTACATTTTAAATGCTAAGTAGGTCTAAATAATTCTTATCTGAGGGTCCAATGCTAACAAATTGATATGAAATACATCCGTGGTGATTAGCATTAGAAAATCACAGTGCCTTGCAATAGTATTCACACCCCTCAAACATGATCAGACTCCCATTGAGAATTTATAAAAACACTAGATAATTAAGTTGATTTGATCTGTGAACAGAAATCAACATGTGAAAAATTTGAATTTACTAGAAATGTTCTTCCTTCCTCTTAAGGATGTAAAAGACACCATAGCAGCAAATTCTGCATGTTCTATGAAATATTTTAATACGTTTCCATTTGGACAGCTATTTTTGTTCCTAAAATAGTGATATCCTACCTTCATATCTTTGACAAAATCGACTGCTTATTACGAAGCACATGAAACTAAATGAGCTTGATTCAGTTGTGGCCAAAACAAACACAACAAAATGAAAAAAACAAACAAAAAACACATTAACTAAGTCATAAGTCATAGCAGCAGCAAAAAAATGTCCAAAACAACAAAAAATGTTCTTATTTAAAATAATGGAGAACATGTCACACAATCCTTAGCTGTAGAAGCCAAGAAGAATGTGTGCAAGATATTACTCAGCTGTAAACATCTGAGTTTTTAGCTTGGACGGACATCAGAAGAAAAGAAAGACATTAAGGCATGGAAGTGGGGTTTTACACACTTTCATGTGCATGGAAGTGTGTTAAACCCTGGAGAACAAAACAGGATTTGTTTCCAGCTTAACAATCATAATTTTTTGCAATTTGTTAATCATTAATGACTAATTGGCACACAGGGATATGGAACATGTGGAAATATGGCCTGTAGGCAATTAGAGCCACAAATAACAGTAATTGCAAAAGGGAGAACATATGCAGAGAAAACAAAAACCTTAACAAATCTTGACACCTCTTAGTTTGACACATAAATGTATATTCTTTTAAAACAAAGCTTTTATATTTGAATTTATTTGATTTTACTTTTAGTACCGTAAATACTTTAATTTGCAATGCTATTTTCTTAGTCTAAAATCTACCTAAACACCCAGCAAATAGCTTTAATTTGCAGGAAATAATGATCTTTGCTAATTTTAATTAATATTTTTAACCTACAGAAGGATTGTCTGTAAAAAAGGAATCAAAGTATCGCTAGAATCATTCTTTCCGAAGATTGAACTGTGTCGAAAATATTAAGTAGTCCATTTAAGTCACTATCTGCAATTACAGAAATATTCTTAGGTAAAAGACGCCATCAATGAGAGACAGATTGCATATTCATATACCTGTTGCATGTATTGTGAATGTGCTCCCCTACCTGCAGTTTGAAAGTTGATGCGTCTCATTTCCACAGGGTCTGTGGGATGGTGGGGAGTAATGTCTGCATTGTTAAGGAGACATTTCGTGCGTGGCTCAGATTCTTTTCTCTTCCGGCTGCAGAGCAAAACAAAGCAGAGATATGTAAAGACAACAAAACAAAACAGAGAAGAAGTGGCAGAAAACAGATCTTTTTTTTTTTTTTTTATCATGTGCAACTGTTTTTCCTGTTTAAGGTTTTGATGAAAGCCACCAAACAAACAAAGCATGTTTGTTTTCTACCTAAAACAGATTCATTTATATTATATTATTAATATAATTACAGCCCCGTTTCTTAGTGTTTTAACTCTGTTGTTGAGATTATTAAACATTGTAAGCATCAGACCTTGAAACTGAGTGCCTTTAGAAAAAAAAAAAAAAAAAAAAGTTGCATTCTCTACAGCATAAATTCAAGATCTTCTGGCTCTTTTCATATTCTAGTGAGGCAGGCCACGCTGTCTCCTTTAGTAAAATTCACCAAATCTAAGTAAGACTACACCTTACCTGTCTGGTTTGCTGTTTCCACAGAATGCAACAGGAACCAAATAAATATATAAAGATGGTAAAAACACAGCACACAAGGAGAAAGGGAGAGGGGGAGGCAAGAAGAGATACAAATCAATAGAGAGCAGTTTAAAATTCACAGGGGTCACTGCTGTGCTCGCAAAAAAAGCGAGATGAAGCTTATCAGCAGCTGAAGGGGTGAGCGTGTTAACAGGAGTGCAGATGTGTCAGAGGGTTAAAATAAATGTGAGTTCTTTATGAAATGTCCAAGTAAGCACATGCATTTGTGACTTTATGAGTGTGCTGTTGTGTGTGTGTTTGTCGGTGTGTGCCCGAGGGTGCAGATACAGAGAGGAGCAGGGAATGTCAGGGCCAAGGGCAGACCCGGGATACACTGTTGACCAAAGATGAGGGAAGCAGGAGGCAGGAGTGGTGGTGGAAGCATGAGACGAAGAGAAAGAGAATGAAGAAAAAAGAGAGAGAGATCCAAGGAGAGGTGTTACTCTCCCCAACCACCAAGACTGACGTAAGGCAAGGTCAGACAGCGGGGGATCATCTGACAGTAGCAGGCTGCTCCTCTGTTTCTCCCCCTAGGCCTTGCTCCCTCCCACCCTTTAGGTAATTCAGGAATCTCTGCATGTTAAGGAACTAGCTCCTCATACCTAATGCTAAGTTCTAACTTCCAGAATCTGAAGATAAAGGAAACAACTTGCTGTGAAACAAGGGCAGCGTATTGACCTAATCTGCCTGATCCTTCTGCTCTTTTACTGAGCTTTGATAGAGCAGCTGATAATTACTGCAAGCGTATCCCTGAAAACACTGAGAGACTATCGAACAACTACAATGGAAGAAAAACATTTTTAAGTGTATGTTTTACTTATTAGCAGGTTTAATTCCATTAAGAATCTCTGTTTTTGATCATTTTCTCAAAGAGTCTCATCATCTCTTCTTTCTCCAACCAGCTCACTCCCCACAGCCATCTTTTACCACAACAAACACTCGTTCACATTTGCATACAGCGATGTTATTGGGTCTTTTTATCATGCTGCAATGAATACAAAACACGACCCCACTTTGGCATGCTTCCTGACATGCAATTATTTCCCAATAACCCAATTCTCCACATAAACTACAAATAACCAGTTTAACGTCAAATAATGAGAACATATTGTGATATTGCTAAACATGTGGGAAATTGAATTTTTATATCACATTTAGTCCAAATAATAAAACATGGCTTGCGGTTTAATATTTTATGGGCCCGTGGCTGGAGCAGGGACCAACAATGCTAAGCTCTGATTCAGCTCCCTGTCTGATAAGACAAGAGATATGCTGCTTAACAACCTTCCTCAGAGAAATGCTTATTAAACTGGCAAAATATCCATACAGTGAAACTACTTGAAAACCCTTTGGTGTTTCTCATCATTTGATGTTAAACAATTTTTATTAGTGCTGTCAAAATCTCATTCATAGAGAAGTCCTCCCAAAATCCATTTATTCCAAATCCCACTCACTTTTTCAATAGAAGAATAGAGATGACAATGCCAATGATGAAGACCACAGCCAAGACAGGACCGACCACCCAAATGAGCCCGTCACTAGGCTCCATTGGCAAAGGGTCCCTCACCATCTCTGGAGTCACCACAGTGTCAGTATAGGGGCTGGTTGCAAACATTTTCTGTGGAACACAAAAAAACAATATATAAATCTGAAGTATAGGTGGATAAAAAGTATAGTGGATTGACAAAAACTTGAAAATCAAATAGAAAGAGGCTAAAAACAAGGTAACAAAAGTGCACTCACCCCAACAGGTGCATTAAGTTCAGCAAGCAGGAAGAAGACATATTCCTGACCAGGTACAAGAGGCTTGTTCTCACAGCTGCTCAGGCGGTGGTCAGACCCCACTGTGAAGGTGGAGGGCAGCTGCTTGAAGCAGGCCGTGATGTAGGCCTGCTTCTGGTCTGTTTGAGCCAGCTGGCGCCGTGAACGTCGCTTTGGGATCACATCCCTCAGCAGCTGCTCAAAGTAAAGATGGTATTAGTTCTATTTTTTCTATTTTTGTTTCAGTTTTGGTAACACTATTCAAATAAATAAGAAAAAAAGACTGAGTAAGGATTAGCTACAGCTAAATCCACTAATATTTTTGGAGGATTTAGTATCTGTGATGCTAGTAGACAACAAAATTAAGAAGTAAAAATCACTATAAAACATATTTTGTGGTCCAAGTTTTCAGCATAAAAACAATTATTCCTACAAAAGATATAGATTTTGTATTATCTGATTAAATTAAGAAATTTTAATGGGAAAAGCAATATCTGATAAAACCCAATGCATTTCTATATTATATTAAGAGAATAAGCAAAAATAGTAAATAACACAAATGCAAAACAATGAGAGAAAACACAACAGCTCGAGCAAAAGAAAAAACAACTTATGTAGTGTTGCGTTGAACCCCAGGTAAAAAAAAAAAATCTTCAAAAAGAATTCAAAAGAAGGCAGTAGTGAGTCTGCTTTACACATAGAGGCAACAGCTTCTATAATTTAGCAGCCACAGCTGCAAAAGTCTTATCACTTGTTATTTAGCCTTGGCTTTGAAAAAGCCGAGAGCTGCTGTTTGGCTGACCTTGGAGTCTCTAAAGTAGAGCACAGGTGAAGTAGATCATAAAAACATTAAAAAGCAAATAAAAATCTTAAAATCAATTCCATAGCACAAAGGAAGTCATTGAAGAGTAGTCTCTATGTAGTTATGTGTGGTAAAACAGGCGCAGCTGCAGGAAAAACTGGACAAGCTGAAGGTAAGAGAGGGCAGACTATCAAAACCCCAAAATAGAGCATAGCAATAATGATGGTGAAAATTAAGAAAGGCGAGAATTATCTTATTAAAATCATGTCTGGACAAAACGGTCTTGACTTTGGCAAATTTGACAGACATCTATCAAAAAATATAATTATTTAAAATGCAGTTTTTTTATTTTATTCACCAGTTTTATTTTAAAAAGGTAATTATTAATCAGTGGAAACTCTCTATTGGTGTTAATGCAGGCATTTGTTGTCCTGCATGAACCCTGTTTCCATGGGTACTTCAAAGATTTATCTTTGCTCAAGAGTTTGATGTTAAAAGGTCTTCTCTACATTTCTTATACTTGGGTCTCTTTACAAGAGACCTTTACCTTGACTTCTCACAAGTGTTGAGCTTATTTTTCAGAAAAATTTTGCAGATATAACTTTAGTTTAGTTTTTTTTTTTACTTTACTAAGTAGAAACTTCTGATAGTGATAAGTAAAAGAAAATAATGATGTACTAGTATTAGTGCTGTGAGTTCCATTCTGGTAAATATCATTTACAACATGGTTTACATTTACAACTAATGATATAAGTCAAGTTCTTTAGTCAAGAACGCCTGCCTCTTCACACCATTTAGCATTCACATCATATAATTTATCCAGTGCTTGTCACTAATTTGGTAGACAAAGGTTTAATAACAAACCTCATGCCTTTATTAGAACTTACCTCTTCTATGTCCATCTCATCTGGGTTCCGCAAGTTCTTTACTGTTCCTGATGTTGTTTTAAGAGGCACCACCACAACATAGAAATTCCTGGAAATGTTCCAAGAAAGAAAATACATAATTGCTAAAGGTATGGTCTTCACTAGACAGAGGTAGTTGCTAAAAGTCAGAACAGAACTTGTCAGCAACACGGATGCTTCCAATACACAGACTGTACCATACTTACTTAACATCTCTGCTGTGTGGTGGTTGAAAGGTCATGGTGAGGATGTTCTCAGGCTCAGCGTAGATGTCCAGTTTGGGTTTTCTGACCTGGATAGAAGGTGCTGTCCTGGCGACCACACGATGCCGGGGTCCACCCTCCGTGCTTTCTTGGCAAGTCACCTTGAATTCATAGGTGCTGTTGTGTCTTAGCCCAGTAATGTACGCCTTCAACTTTCTTGCATCCACATCCATCTTTAGACGGTTATACTCAATCTAGAGATAAACAAATTTGACTTTGATTGATCAAAACATAGATTTATAAACAGATGAAAGGTACAGTAGGCAACGGAGAAACAATATGAAGAATGGTGGCTTTAGGAAATGTTTTTTCCACAAATATACATAAAAATCCCACAATAAGATAAACATGTTAAAAGTCCGATTGACATTACTTGGTAAACTTACAGTGCAGTTGTATGGTGATCCTCTATCTGAAAACTTCCATCCAAGCACCACTGTCGTCTTTGTGGCCCACTTTACGGTGAAATTCTTTGGGACATCTGTTAGCAAGAGAAATGTGGAAGAAAAGAGAAAAAAAATGGCATTGGGAAAAATGTAAAATAACTGTGACAAGAGAAAGGAAAGAAGCTGCTCCCCTGCAAGATTCCTCTGGCTTAAAGAGTGAATGCAGCGGTGTGATGTGATTGGCTGGGAGAAGGGTAATGCCATTGGTTAACACACAGACTCATAGACAACAAATGAAGCACAAGTTTACGCCCTTAGGCTAGCCATCATTGGGAGTGCCAACCCATCTCTGACATTGACCATGACCACTTAATGGTTAACCATTTACCCCTGCAAAGAACCCAAACAGTGTTGCAGAGTTTGAGTAAGCACTGCCAATTTGCTGCCACACAGACATTAAGACAGACCCAAAACACTGCATGCCAACAGTCCTGAGCAGTGCATCTGTGGGATGCCATGCCACAAGCTGTCCTGTTAAGGGACAAAGGAAAGGAGAGGGGTAAAGAAGTTTTGAGAGAAGAAGGGAGTTAGGAAAGAAATATCAAACCAAAAATAAAGTCAATTAATAAACAGAATTGTGTGATCCTAGAATGCCCCGTACACAGGTTTTATTGACTGGATTTGACTAGGGTCCTACCTTTTTTCAAAACCGGGAAGTGAGATAGCAAAAGTGGTGCGAGTGTGCTCGATAAAAGGGTCCAGGAACTGCTAGGAGTATCTGACCAACACCACTTACCTTAAAAATTCTATGCTGCTCTCCACTTTTAATGACTGACTGTAACTTACTGACTTTCATGTTACCTGCTTTGAGTTAGTGATGTAAGTAATCCGTGGCAAGCATTTTAAAAAGTTCTCTTGGAGATGGAGTCAAGTCGGTTGAAGAACTTGTTCAGGTGTTTTGTTTTGCTATTTGGTTAAATGTGAACAATGATTTGAACAGATTTCCAACCCCCTGCCACTGGGTTAGAAAAGAAACAGGCAAGCCCTACCTGTAGCATCAATGGCCACCGTCCGATACTGGATGGGCGGGCTGTAGGGCCCTGGACCTACACTGGTGTGGGCACGTATTTTCACATCATATGCAGAGTTTGGTTTGAGGCTGTTGAGTTCATAGCTAGACAGGCTGGGAGGTAACCGAAGTTCTTGTGGTGCCTGTCTTGTCCCAGCTTCTTTAAAAGCCAGAGTGTACTCTGTGATGACCCCGTTCCTCTCTGCCAGTACTGGTGGAGACCAGGACAGCTGTACTGAGCAGCATGTTACCGAGGAACCCTCATTTATTTGAGGGTATCCTCCAGGGATATTCTCAGGAACAGTGAGTTCCGCCACAGCCTCTTCCCCAAAGCCTCCTCTGCTTTTGGCTGAGATCTTAAAGAGATAAGTGGCACCATGATGAATATTGCCCACAGAATACTGTCTTTCTTGGGGAGAAAACTCCAATGTGGCCAGAGGGGAGACATCTTTCCGGCCAAACTGGAGGCGGTATCCCTGCAGGTCCATTCCATTTATCAGGTCTGGAGGATCCCATTGAACAACAGCTGAGGTCTTTGAATCTTGAGCTACTGACAGATACGGCGGACCAGGCACTGTGCAAAAACAGTAATAGAAAAAAACTTAATTTTTGTACACCTATTTATACAATGTCTCATACCATTTGCAGAGATGCTATCAAATTAACTCAACAGACAGACTTCTTATATACTGATTAGCTTACTGATGATGATTTTAGTCAAAACGTTTTAATGTAGATCAACACAATGTACAATAGTTTAATACAATGGCTATGTTTATGCATAAATAAATAACTTTATCAGGATGTTTTTAAACAATCAGAGGACTTTTAAAAGTGGTTGGTTGCACTGGATTTTAGTAAGGAGTTTCCGAATAAAGAGTCTCACTACATCCAAACATTTTTTTAATCACTTGTTCCTTCCAATTCTGTCTTTAATGTTAAATCCAATAAAATATATTTAACACTCTTACATGGCTTTGTATATTCATGCTTGATTATAAAGCATGCTTGTGAAATGTTTTCTGCATATGTGATCATAGAAGACAAGTTCAAACCTTCTAAATGATTTATGCAAAAAGATCACAGAAACTGAAGTTAAACTTGCAAATTAGAATTTAGCTATTTATTAATTTACAAAGCTGAGTAACCTTCTGTGGCAAGGCGACATCAAAGATCTTTGGAAGATTCTACTATTCTGTGCTATTCCCATTATCATTTCCCGTTGCGTGTTTTAGCCAGAAGAACCTTAGAACTGCAAAACATTACAAACAATTTAACTAAAAAACTGTGCATGATTTATTAGATGTCATCTTTTAGTTGTAAAATTGATGATCTACTCGAGGATTCAGGCTCCTTTGCCCTGAACATCTCAGTTTCTGTGCTCTGATGGATGATAGATCTCCTCTGAATCCTGTTTAAGGATCCAATGACAGAGGCAGTGGAATTTAAGAAATGCTTAGAGTCCCTTACCAGCCGTAAATGTTTTTCCTTTTTCTTTTAAGTGGAGAGATGAGTTACTCATATGCTCAAAGCCACATCTCAATGTAAAATAGATGCAACCTTGATGTGCAATCACTTGTCCATTTCTGTTTAAACAGAGTCATATTATCAGGGTTGTGGACATATATGTCATAAGGAAATCAGCACTTGGCTTTTGAATATAAATAGAAATTGTAGAATCTTCCAAACGTTCTCCTGCAGAGTTGGTCCTCCCTCAGGCAAACTGTCTGGAGGAAAATTATGAGCTGACCGATTCACACAACTTGGGTGTAGTTAGAATAATTGCAATTAAACACAACACCGTAATGCACCATCAAACACAATAGAACTTGAGAACAGAAGAAAAATTGTTCATCGCTTCTGGTCTTTTCCGCCCTTTGGCATTTTAAACTGCTGCAGCTTTGGTACATTTTTGGGAATTAAATGGAGTGCTGGCTGTATTGGATATTTTATCCTTTCCATTCATCAGTTTTTATCCAGCAGCTCGAAGTTTCATACATGCTTTGGCGAATGATAGTTTTAAAACTGTTACCATTTCTATATTTTATTTCTATGAAACATTTCTGAAAAAAAATGATAATTTGAGCATCTTGTCTCATTTAAACTTATTAATGACTTTTATCTTAATTATTGGGTACTAAATCAAATAGGAAGATCTTGGCAACATGTGGAAAAAGAATGACATTGAGTTAGAAACTGACCAAGGGTTAGGTTGACCAGAAGCCGGTGACCATATAAGAAATTATCACAAACATTTAACTTAAAAAAAATAAAACAAGAATGAAACACATAAAAATATCTGCAATAAAGGAATTGTGCATTTTGTTGATTAGAATTCATATGCAATCCTGTTTGTAGTATAATTAGAACTGTACAAAATGAAAAATACACTAAAACATCGTGAGACATGTAGTGCTACTAAAACCGAGCCCTATCACTGGTGAATGGCGGAAAAACGTAAACTAGGAAATTAATCATTTTCAGGTTTATTTTTCTGATTTTGTCAATTATTTGGTATTAATCATTCATAAAGCTTACCAAAAGGATGAATAAACCTGGTTTGCAGAAACTGTGTTAGCTTTTCCTGAATTCATCAAGCTGCATAAGCTGAATAAAACTGATAACTTATGATTATTTAGTTTTGATTAACAATGGTCTGCTCTACAGAATAAATCTTATCACCAGTTTCAGGATGTTTTCCCTTTGGGATGTGACTTTTTTGTTGATGTTTTTTCCCCTACTACTTCACACTGTAAGTAATTAAACTGTAATACATCTTTCTCCCATTTCTTATAGCATTTTAAATGAAGTGCATTTGGTTTGGTACACTGACAAAGAAATTTTGCCTTCCTTAGCTGGAAAACTTTCAATTCACATGTTTCTACATGTATGTGCTTGTACAAACACACAATGCAATTTGCTACTTACAATCATCTTCTTTTTTCTTTTTAGTCTGTTTGCTAATTGTTGCCATTCTGAAAATGGTGGTTTAGGACTGTCAATTGTTAGCAAAGCTTAAACCCCTATAGGTGCTGTATTTTGGGTGAACAAGTGTTTCTACTTCTTGGCAAGATGCTTTAGCTCAGCTTAGTGTCATTTAAGTCCCCTCTGCTTTAATGTTTGCTGTTAATCGAGGAAATGCAATAACTAATTGTGGGTTGACTCCATGGGTGTATTTTTTTACTTCAATCCCAAAATCAACAGGCTGCCATTTGTATCCTTCACAGCCTTTCTAACCTTGGTGACAGTTTGACTATTTGTACATTCAAAACTTTGACCTAATACAATGCTGTGGAGTGGGATCAGGGGCACTAAGCCAGCAGATTGGTGTCAGGAGGGGTAGTGGAAGCAGGGGGGATGGTTCATGCTGTGTGTATGCATGCGTGGTCATGGGGTGATAAGAGAGCAAGGGCATTGTGAGTAAAGTGAAAATGAGGGCTGATGAAGGTTACTAGGGACAGGGAGCAATCAGCTGCAAAAAGGACCCACAGGGATATGAGGAGCCTGATTTGTTTGTCTGTGAGGGATACATGAGCGGTTTCTGGACACCTTGATTGTCCTTCTTCTCTCCTTTCCTTACCTTATGCCCCCCCAAACTACCCTCCATCACCACCACCTTTCATTATATCCAAACCTCTATTCCATCACTCCATCTTTGTTCATTTCATGACCAACCCTAGTTTAATCCCTCCATGTGGAACTCCTGACACGTCTCTCATCAGACGGCAGAATTACCAGCTTTCTGTTGACACTCACAGACCAAGAAAGAAGGAACCAGTGCATCCTATGTTTACCGTTCATGCACACACACACACACTATATATATATATATATATATATATTTATGATCAAGTTTTTCTTTGTGTGTGAGTGTTAATGTAAACCAACACAAACATGTTGATTGTAATGTAAAGGTCAAGATAAAAGTCCACTTTTTTGTCAATTTATCATGGATATAAAATCATTTTTTCCCCCTTTTTTTTCCAGAATTTTAAAGCATGAAAAGTCTCTCAAACCTGAAGCTGACACCGAGAGGGAAGTTAAGGAAAACTATCAATGAACCTTTGCTATCAAGATCAACATGTCTCTGTCAAAGCTTTGTGTACTCTTAATTTATTGAAATGTAGACTGGTTGCTTTTTCCACATGATTTAGACTAATAATATGTTGCCTTAATAGCAGATACAACACAGGGGACAGATGAACGCTTAGAGAGGATGGCCTTAACAGGGACTATGTATGGTTTCCTCGATAAACCAACATCATATTATATGTCTTCCTCTTTCCAAAATAGCGCTCTTCCATCCTTTCCTCTAAAGGCTCTATTAGCACTAGAAAGATAAACTACTGCACAGATTTAGACACCAGAAAATATCTGATGACAGGGTCAGTTTTGTCCGACAGCTAATAAAAGAGCCTGAAAAAAGTCAACAGAAGGGGATGATACAAATCCATTGCTTGTACAGTAGATGTAGCTCTTCATAAAAAAAAATTCTGAACCACAACTTCTCAAAAATCATGACAGTTGTTGACATTCATGCTAGGAAAATTACTTAGAATGTTCAATATGTTCTGAAATATCAACAGGATTAAAAATTCAATCACTTTGAAAGACTTTCCAGAAACACTTTCCACAATTTCAAGGGCCATTTGCAATAGCATTTACTTCCTGGGTGAAAAGGTATTTAATTACCATACAAATTCAATGAAAAAAAAAACAAAAACAGAATGACAAATAAGTTGTTGGATCGGAATAAAAAAAAAAGAAAGAGGAACCATAATCTACATTCTAATCATTGGTTCTTAAAGTCGACATTTTTATCCACAATACATGGGCATATTTAGTGAAGGAGAGACTAGGCTTTGCTGGAGCCTTTATACTCTACAGCAAATATGTTGCAAGCTTAAAATTGATCTGCAACCAGTGACAAAAAACAGAATTTTCATTTTGTTTTGGTCCTTTGACAGCTGCATTTGGCAAGCCAAACTTCCTGGATTCAGCATTTTCTAGGGCATGGTATTGGGTGCCAACTTGATTACTAATTCAATGTGATTGGCAATTCACCCGTGGGAAAATAGCATGCACGCACAGATGCCTGTGCTATAACATGAATGTAAGCTGGACAGGAAACACTAGAATCCAGGGCTTGAAACACTAAAAATAATAAGTTGACAGAGGTCACCTTACAAAAAAAAGCCCTAAAATAATTTTCATCTTTTCCTTTCCTCCTTTTTAAAAGGAAAAACAAAAAAAAAAAATATTAGAACACTCAAAAAAAAGTGTCTCAAAACCACAGTTTTTTTTTATTAATTAATTATTTTTTTTAAAAAAAAAAGCCCTTAAAAAACATTTTTTAATCAAAAACTTTTAAGGATTTTAGGCAACTATGGGAACCTTTTTTATCTTGGATCTCTTCAACAATGGTTATAAGTTTTTCACTGTGCCAGCCTAGGGTAGAAACACACATTGAGTAGCAACATTTTAATCTTGTTCAGTTCAAATGTAGTTCGCAAAGGTATATTTTTCCTCGGAATTTACAAAGAATAAACATCTTAAGTTTCAATGACAAAGTCAAATACGGATTTAAGATCACTTTTTCAGAACCAATGCCAAGCTTGATCTATAGCCTAGCTCTTTTATATTAAACAACTGGTCCATGGCTTTGTTTACTCCCTGCACAATAACTGTGATGCAATTCTCATTGTGAAGCAGAATTAACCAAGCATTAGATTGTTCACCTACTAACAGTGAACCTGAGCTGGATTTAGACCATTGTGGGACAGGTTAGCTCTACCCTACTTATAATGTATTGTTGCAGAAGCAATACTTCTCCCCTGTCTGAGACTGCAATACATGCAGAAACTGTGCTTAAAAATACATTTCGTTGATGTTGTTTTTTTCTTTAAATGTATCACCTAAAGTAGGTGTAGGAAACCAAAATCACCATAATTGCTATAGTTAACTTAACCATGATCAATACCTTGCATTATGCTATTTAGAACTGTTTTCTGATTGACATTACTGGATCACCGAGAATTTGCAGAGGTAACACTTTATTGTAGTTTGTATTGTATTCAGTTCCTTTTTTTAATTTTGTACTTTATACTGTAAGATCAAGTACTAGCCCATGCCTATAAAAGGACTGATGTTCTCTTTTTAAGATAACTTACTTTTCAGGCCATATCGAGGAGTAAGGCCTCCATACATGGATTGTGCGCGGTAACCGTTTCGCCACGGAAGCACGCCGTAATTAATTGGCATGTCTAAATTGTCTAAATTGCATGATTTTATGTCTTTTTATGCATCTGTGTTTCCCTTTGACAAACTGGTGAACTGTCCAGGGTATACCCCTCTGCTCGCCCATAGACTGTCTGAGATAGACACCAGCCCCACCTATCCTGCCAAACTAAGCAATACTAGATATATGGATGATTTTTTTTCACATACAAAGTTATATCAGGAAAGCTTGCAATGAGGTCCAGAAGATGAACTGACATGGCAAACAATGTGAATTGACTGGCGGCACAAAAACCTGCTCTACTTTCCACAATGTTTTGTCTCAATGTTGCCTTTTCAGGCTTTTATCTTTCCTAAAGAAAGGAAATGGCTTTGACATAACCACCCCTGGAGGCATTTGTGCTACTTAAATGCATGTTTCTCTGGAAAATAGAAAAAAAAGACCTGAAGAGCCATTTTATAACCTTTACAATTGTATAACTTAAATTTACACAGCTGCCAGGTACACCATGTTGTTCCACCACACATATTAACATCACACTTTTAAGAATTGCTCACACTTGAAGGAGTGAGCAGTGAGGAGATAGAGAGGGTCATGAACATGGAGAGCTAGGACTAATCGGTGTGGTCTGATTGAATACAAAAGTCGTTACAGTCAAATTGGTCAAAGGTGTCAGACTATACAGTTCATCACAGTTTATTACAATGGGGCTGCAGAACCACACTGCAGTCAGGGTGCAAATGCTGACTCCTGTCTACCACTAAAGGCACAGACAGCGGGCATATAAGCATCACAACTGGAGCGTGAAACAAAGGAAGAAAGTAGCCTCATCTGATGAATTATGTTTTCCTTTACATCATGAGAAAGCACCGCTTTTATGCACGGTTTTATAGAAACAATATTCCCTGATGTTTACAATACAGCCTCTTTCAGCAGACCAATGCACACTGCAAACAGAGTTAAGAAATGCTTTAAATAGACTAACTGCTAGTCTAAGGTGTTGAATTTGCATATATAACTTATGGGATGTGCTAAACAAACAGGTCAATCTAGTGGAGGCATGGCATGAAAACTGAAGAAATCTGAGACATCTGCTTAAATATCGGTGCCAGATACCAAAGTAGACTATTAGGGGTTTAGTTTAGTCTCAACTGGGCTGTTTTAACACCAATAAAGAGATCCATTACTATGCAAACTGGTGATTGTGATGTTTCTGTATGTCTTATCCATGTATTTATTAATTTCGTAGAAGTTTATCTTGGTATAGCAGTAAAATCCACATAAGCGTGATTACCTACAAGTCTAGTCTTACTTTAAAAAGAACAAAACTATTTTCTTATAAAAAGACTTTCATCATTTACCAAGGTGGAATTTGTTAAAACCTGAAGGCCAGAGAACCTTTTTCTTAAAAGAAAAGAAAAGGATTTTGTCACCATTGTTCGCATTCTTCCTCTCAGTTTTTGCTTGTGGCATGAAAACCTTTTTGTACACATCAAAAAAAGTTATTAAAAAAAAAAAAGATTTTTTTTTTCTTTCAAAAAAGATGACCAGAAAAATCGTCTTACCATTCGGGAAGGATGAGGATCAAGGAACCTCAATTTTAGCAGCTTTTTTCTTTAAGAAACAGAGTTGGACTTATGGCAAACACCCACTATTTGGAATCTGGGCAATTGTGTTGTTTCTTGTGTAGGAATTTGCTTTAGCACAGGGTCTTATGTGTTTAATATTCTAATAATATGCAAGTGACTTAATATCTTTCTGTTTTGATGCTTGGTTTCTTGCACACCTACACACTATAACCATTTGCATCTTCTTCTGAAGGCTTATACAAAGTGAACTGTGCTTCACAGTTTAGATTATGTTTGTGATAGCTAAATGAGCACTTGTGGTGTATTCAAACTGTGCATGCCAGTGGTTATGAGACGACATATTAAGAATACATGATTTTGAAGAGCTGTTCCTTGAATGTTTTATTCATACAGCAGAAACCAACGACCAGGGAAGGGTTCTCATGCTGTCATAATCTGTCTCTAAAATCTCAAAGTATCTTAAATGATGCCCTTGATCTCCTAAAAATCTGTGGCTGGTCCGATGAGTTTGACTCAGAATGTAAAAGAAATACTAATACAAGCCAGTGTCTGATGAAATACATCGTTTAAAAGACTACTGACTCAAGGACATGTTTTTTTCTATAGCTAAAGTTCTTAACATGAAACATAACCATAACTTAAATTAAAAAAATAAATACTCAAATTTCAAAAATTATCAGCATCATTTGCATAAAAGTTTTACCAATGCTTTGCAAAATGTTTTAAAAACAATTTTTAACTTCTGCATTGTTTTGTTTTTATGCACAAAAAAACTAAAGTACACTATATAAATAATCTAAAATAAATTAAACTTTCTTTAGAATAGAAAATCCCTTTATTGTCCCACAATAGCGAAATTCTGGTGTTTACAGCACCAAGAAGATTATAGAAAAAATGGTCACACAAATGTGGATGTTAGAAATATATATAAGAATCACATAATAGTGCAGAGTTAAATTATAAGCAATAAAAAAAACTGTACTGTAAAGATTTTAAACAATATAAAACTGTGCACCTGGAGAATAAATAACCAATATACAGCTATGTATCTAAAATGTTCTGACAATGGAATTTAAATTTAAACTATGACAATAATATACAGTATATATTAAATATACTGCAATTAATTTTTTTCTAAAAATTAAGGGTAAAACCTTTTCCCATCAGTTGATCATTCCCTTACTTATGTATAATCAAGTGCAAATACACTTATTTAAGAAAACTATTAGTTTACTCTTTGCAGTGTAACAGACGGTTTGCATTGATCAAGAACCCCCTTCAGAAACCCGTCACCCCAAGTTGAACCAATTAATTTTATTTCGCTACTGACCTGCCCCTTTAGTCACCACCACTTTGGGTTTACTTCGAGCTCCATCTCCCTTGGTGGTGTAAGCTGCTACAGTGACAGAGTAAGTGGTGTCTGGTTTGAGTCCTCCGATGACCATTTCCTAAGGGGAACACGGAATAGACACGGAAAAGGAAAATGTCAAAACATCTTCTGAATTTTTCATGATCTGACCCCCCTTTGTACAGCTCAAAGCACCTTGTGCTGAATGTTAATCCAAGCATCTCCAGGTCCTCTTTATTAATTTTCACGAGATTGCATGCATTATACGCAAAAATTCTCCTTCTGTAATGGGAGACCATTACGCAAACCCTCAGAGCCACAGAGGTGGAGGAGGGACATTATGTATGTAAATGCAAAGTAGCTCTCTCCCCTATTCCTTTAGCAATATCCCGATCAACAACTTAACTTTGATAAATGCCTGCTGAATACATCCTGGCCTTTCACTGGCAGTTTTTACCAAGGCCATTAAGTTTCCTTGAGTCTTCTTCAAAGAGAGGCTCCCGATCAATTCTAATGAATCTTTCAAAGGAGCAGGTTTTTAACGAATGCAGAACGAGGTTTTTAACAGGCTGGTTGGCAGGGGGATGGGGTAAGTCAATAATGGTAAATAAGCTATAAGCACCTTCTTTTTTTTCTTTTTTTTTTTTTATTACACATAATACTATTTTCATGAAATGCATTTTTTATTTTCATTTTGGATAAAAATAACATAAAATATTATCATCTTATAACAGATTGATTTCTAAAAGGATTTCAAGCCTTCCTACATTTTGTCTGCAACTTCAATGCAGTCTGCTGATATTGTTATTAAATCTAAAAGTTTCTATCCTATATCTTCAAACTACTCTAAGTTTATTAAGTTTATTAAGGAGAGGCATCCCAACAAGATGATACTGTCACTTCCATGTTTCTTACTGCAGGTGAGAAAGTAAGCCAAAGTGACAGGCTTTTAAGTTATCTGAAAAAAGAAGATGCTTTTTCATGTTTGCACTGTTCCCTTGCTCAGACAGTGTCAAACTTTAAACCAGTTATTACTAACTTATTTATTGTTACCACTCTTACATTAAAGCCAGATTTGTTGAATGCAGCTTCACTTATTGTCCTGTGGTGTTTCACTTACGCTTTAGATCTCTACAGCTACTATAGAAGTAACATGGTCTTCTTAGCCGTTTGACTTTTTAGTATGACAAAATATGGAAAGGTTCAATAAATAGCAAAACTTTGGAAAAGCAATGTACCTTGAGAATTTGAAGTAGGAACCAAGGGCATGTATTCAGTATGCATATGGCTATAGTTATTATCAGAATTATAAAGGAAAAGTAATAGAAAGAAACATAATGTCACCACAAAACAAAGTAAAAATTCAAATTTAATGCACAGAAATAAAAAGAATTAAAACCACCGAAAGACAAACCAATGTTTCTGCACACAGCAAGATGCATGTAGCTTTAGCACTGAGGAGTTAGCAAGTGGATACTGCATCAGCCAGTCTTTTGCTTTAAGCCAACTGTTAACAGAAGATTATTCTAAATAGCATATTTCAATAGCACAACAATTTCAAGTGCTATATTAATGCCATATTAGGGCATTGTCCTGATACTGTATAAGGATAACAAAACATAAACTAAAAGTAAAAATTTCTTATAGTAAAAGTCCTTATATTGTCCATATAGTGTAAAGGGATGTAAGGCCAATGTGGATGTGGTCTGGTCAGGCAGCTGAAGTGAAGCCTCTTAGCCCCTTCATTGTTCCGTGACAGTAAATTAAGACAAGGGTTGAGGCGAATGTGCACCTAACCAGGGTTGATGCAATAGCCACTGTTTTAGGAACATAAAGCACTCAGGCAAAACTTCATACTCACATATTCAGCCGTATCGTCCGTTTCCCACTAACCCCCCCGCCAAAGTGAAGAGCGCAGGAGAGAGGGGGACAAAAAGAGCATCTTTTTTAAGAAAAAGGAAAATGGAAGAGGGAGAAATAGGATTTTGAGAGATTGGGGCTTTAGAGGTTTAGGATGGGCAGGCAGCAGAAATAGGTCACTAGTTTTGGGAGGTCAGAGGAAAGAAGCCCTGCTTGAAGCTTAAAGGAGAGACAACAGGAACAAGCCAAGCGCTATAGGTCTGCCAGTACACACAAGTCAACAGAATCAAAAATTCACATTAGGGTCCAACTTCACACCATTTGGAGATGAGCTAGCTTTTGTATTTCTGAAAAGTTAATCCTTTTATTTTTGTTCTGGCATTTGCATTGCTGCAGATAATATAATTTATGTCACTCGAGCTTATTAGATCAACAATTTAATGTAACGCTCAAGGCATTGCGATTGTGCTGACCCTTTTTCATTAGTGAGAACAGTGGTTTAAATGGACACCTTCTCAAAAGCAAAGCCGAAAAGTGTCATGCTGCTCCGCCATGAAGCACAGCTAAATAGGTGCCATTTAGGTAATAACCTAAGGAGATTACCAAGTGTTTATATCTACAAACAGAGCTGCATAGGGTGAAGTTTTGCTATTAAATAGTGTAAAAAATCCTGGACTCTACATCGATAATATCTCTAGGATGCTCTGGCATTACTTCTTTTGCAAATACGAAATAAGGCTCTGCATAAGGATAAATAGTGATGCTCTTTAGTGGACAGCTGCCAAATTACAACACTAAAAGTTGTCTGCTGAGATGAATTGTAATCTCAGAATTTATTAACCCATAGTAAATCGTCAGTGTGTTTTTTATTTATATATATATATATATATATATATATATA